GCTCTTGGAGTACAACTGACGAGCTCCATTGCAGGCAGAGCAGAAGCTGTGGGACATCAAGAAGGAAAGCCCATCCTGTGTTTAGGACGGCACCTCCATGTTCTGTCCAGGCCTACTGTGCTTTTCCTGCCTTCTTTGAAATCTCATCCTGCCATGGTTAAGCCTGAGTGTGAGAGATGCCTCAGCATGCTGAGGACACATCAGGGGCCCAACCACATCGAAGAAATCTCTATGGCCACGATGCTGCCCTAAGGTGCAGTCAGTACCTCTGTCCTGGAGCAAGCGACTCAGGTGATGCTGGGTGGTGCCAGAGATTCCGTAGAGGTAGCCAAAAGATGTCAGCGCAAAGACTACATCTTCGTTTTGGGTGTACAGAGCACCAAAGCGCAAGCCAAAATCCTAGAAGAAGAGCAGCAGAAACATCTGATTTGTTCACCTTCAGACTTCCTGGCTCCACAATCATATTGAATCTCCTAGTAATTCCCAGGTATATCCAAGGTGAGACCCAAGGCCTGGTGGCTGGAGCTTACCCTACGTGTGTTCCAGATCACGTGGGTTCTCTGAGGGTCAGGAAAGCTGGAGAAGAGATGGGAAAATCAAAATTCAAAGAAGTATTTGAGGATGGAACCTTGAGAGTGTATGAGGGAAAGGGGTAAGTAGACTTGAGGTCATCCCTAGACAACAGGCTTAAATTCCAGACTCTCCTTCCAGAAGTAGGTGGACAGCCGGGCATGGAGGCACGTGCCTGTAATCACAACACTCGGGAGGCTGAGGCAGGAGGATCCTTGAGAGTTCGAGGACAGCCTGGGCTAAGAAGTGAGCTTAGTTCAACCTGAACTTTGTAGGGAGACCCTGTCTAAAAACGACAAAGAAAAGAAGTACAGGGACGGGCTCCAAAGTGCCCACAGAGTGAAATCCAGGGCCTCTGACTGACTTGGAGCTAACCTGCACCTGGCCCAGAGCCATGTTCTTGGCTCCACGCTCCAATGTGGGCCACCCACTATTTCTAGAATGTCCTTGCCTCGGTCCTACTGCCCCATCTTGGGTGAAGCCGTTCCTTCCACCAGGCACACCCTTCCTTGCTTTGTTGGAATCTGATCCCTAGGGCCAAACACTACCCTTCAGAGGCCTCTGCACACAGGGTGCAGTGCTAAGAGGCTGTAATCCCAGCTGCTGCAGAGGCTGAGGAGGAATGCAAATTCAAGGCCAGCCTGGGTAATCTAGTAAGAACCTGTCTCAAAGTTTCATTTTAAAAAAGTTACCTTTTTATCGGCCTGGAGACAGAGCTCAATAGTAGAACACCCGTAGCTAGTTTCAACGTCTAGTAGTACACAAAAAGACATGTCGAACAAAGACAGAGATAAAGATGGTTCTGTCCTGCTCTGTTCTCTCCTGTGTTCTACTTACCAAGAACACCTGCTGTGGAACTTTACCTCGGCCTGTGACAGTGAACTTGCTACCTGGCCCTCAAGTGAGCTTACATGCAGGATGGCGTTGAGCCTGGAGGACACTTGCCTTCAGAAGCCCAGCCCGCACTGACCTCCCTCCCTAACACATAACCAGTGAGGGTGCAGGCCCATGAACTCTGCGCCCTGGTGGTGCTGAGTCCCAGCCCCAGCTGGAACAAACTCACCTTTCCAAGCTCAGAACACTGTGGAACGTGACGGAGTCATCAGACATAGGCAGCATGTACGTTTCATCTATGACCACGTGCATTTTATTACTGTAGTTGGGTGAAAGGAGAACAAATTGTGGTTACTGTTTCTACTTTTAACTCACTTTCATTCCTATTCTACTCTGGAGAGAGAGCAGATTCACCTATTGCCCAGCAGCCCACCCAGCCCTTCCAAGCAGAGGGGTAGGAAGACGCCATATATGAGAAGGGACCTTGCACCCGGGCTGACTCTACTGAGGTGGAGTAGGAAGGACCCCAGGACACACTTGAGTACATTTCTACACTTTCCAGCACCAAGCAGAGGCCAGGGGGAAGGGTCATGTTGTCTACACCATGTTCATCTCGTACAGCTAGAAGCTCCTACCTAGAGTCTGAAGCAAGCGGTGGCACTAAGTCGGCTACACTGTACATGGGTCATGTTAAGTACTCTCCCTCCAACCCTCTGCAGCCTTACGTTCACCCGCCTTTCACAAACAAAAAGGACAATAATGCTCCGAGGTATAAAGCTAACTTCCTTAAATTGCAGTTGTGAGAGCTGGTGTTTCAACTCACTTGTGCTGAATTCTTCCCCACAACCTCGAACACTCTCCAGTCCCTATGCTCTGCCATTAATTGGTCTGGGTTTCTCCTAGGGTTTCAATAAATCTCCTCCCTTTAGAGAACAGATGATCTGCTCTACTAGGGCTAGTATGTCACTCTGGAGAGAAGCAGTGTTAAGATGCCCCTAGGTTCCTGTGAGAGCTACGCTGGCACACATCCTCCTCCCACAAGGCCTGAGGATCTATCTTCTCGAGCTCCTCGGCCCAAGTAGTTTGGGAAATGGATGCTGGGGAAGTGCTTAAGAGACAAAACTGTGTTATGACTGCTGTGTCAGTGTCTGTACAGGGAAGAGGCGAGGAAAAGAATGGCAAAAGTTGGAAATGGTGTGCACGGGGGTGCTTCTTCAGATCAGTTTCACGTAGCTGTGCACAACTCCACAGAGCAGAGCACACTGACAGTATTGAGGGTGAATCACCCCTGCTTCTGATTTCTTGACTACAAGCAAAGGGAAGCCCTACCGGGGATGTCATCCAGTCTTAAGAGACAGAGCTTGTACCTTTTGGCAAACTCCAGGTATTCTTTCAGTAATTCCTTTGAGTAGACGTGGCCCACAAGCTTCTGAGGGTTGTTTAGCAAGAGGCCTTTGACCCTTTTATTCTAAGAAGAAGTCAAACACAGGGGTGAACACAAGGCCTTTTACATCTACCCCAAGTTCAACCAAAGATCTTTCAGATGTCAGACTGCAATACAGGACACCAAATGAGGCAAAGCAAGCCACTACCATACTGCCCGGGGGAGGGGCAGGAAGGTGCTCTGGAAGCTGCCACAGCCAGGAGCCTCACTCCTGTGGAGCCCCATCCCGGCAGGTCACTCACTGCCTCTTCTGACTAAAGACCGCCCATCAAGTTGGGGTGAGCAGGTCCATCAGAGTCTCAGCGCTCAGCCACTCCCGGGGCCACCCTGGAAATAGGATTCCCTCCTTACCTCACTCTTCGCTTCCAGCAGGGCTTGCTCTACTTTGGCCAGGGTGAGCTGGAAAGGCTGGATGTCCATATCAGTGGTCTGGAGGAGAGACGCTACTGAGAGCCGCCCCTGGGAAACCCTTGTGACCCTGACTCCTCACTCCCACACACCCCGGGCAATGCTTGGCCCTCACATCTGGGTGCTAGACCCGCATGGCTTCTTCACCCTGGTTGCTCTACCCTTCCTCCATCACCACATACACAGGGAGAGAGGGGGCCCCCTGTGCCTCGTTAGTGCCCCCTGGACCAGTCCATTGCGTAGGTGGGCTGAGGAGGGAAGGGGCCCATTCTGACCTCACTCTCCACGTGGACTGGAATCAGCTCGATATTCGCGTACATCTTGGAGGCAAAGATGAAGCCCTCATAGAAGGGAGTGGGGACCAGGAAGGAATCTGGAAGCACAGGGAGATGAAGCCATTATTCTACCTTCTCTCAGAACCTGCCAGCCTCCCCACCGCCAGACTAGCAGCAAAGCTACCAAGAGAAGAGGTCACTTGAGCAGTGTCTCCTCTCTGGGGATTGACGTTCTTGAGCTCAGGCTCCA